CATGAATACAAAGGATCATGAAGTTATCATAAACATCTATATGTAAACAAATGGGACAATCTAAAAGAAATGGATATATTTTTACATTATGGCCCCCTTTAACACTGAACCAGAATGAAATAAACAGCTTGAACAGAAGAGAAATGGATAGAGCAATCAAGTCTCCCAGGAAACCAGTCAGAACCTCAGGGCTTCACTAGTGAAGATTACCAAACTTTCAAAGATCTAATACCAATCCATCTCAAACTTTTCAAAAAAACTGCTGAAGGGGGAAGAACCTCTCAAACACATTTTACAAGGCAAATAGTACCCTGACCTAAAAATCAGACAAGAATAGCACACGCACATATAAACCCTGTAAGTGAATAATGCATTAAATGTGGAGTCAATTTTTTTTATATTGATGTAAAAAGTCTTGGCAAATGAAATGCAGAAATGTATTATGAGAACAATATTGCAGGTGGGATTCATCCCAGAGAAGAATAGATGGTTCAAGATATACACAAATAAATCAATGCCACATATAAATTTAAAGATAACAATCACATGATATCAAGAAATGCTGAACAAGCATTTTCCACAATCCAGCAGCCATTTATTATAAAAACTACCAATAAATTAATAAGTTGGGAATAAAAGAAACACATCTAAACACAAGTCGGGCCATATATATTAGATAAACCTTCAACAAACATACTCAATGGTGAAAATTAAAATTTAAAAGCCAAAAGTTGTTTTTTTTAAAGATTAACAAAAATGAATGCTTACTAGCAAAACTTTTAAGCTCTTTTTTGGAATCTTTGAGCAGACAAAACCAGCTATGAAATATTAGGCATAAAGAGAAAGACTGAAATCTAAAAGACAAGAATATACAACTAAACAAAAAAAAATCAAAATATGGACAGAACTAAGCAGACACTTCTCCAAATAAGACATACAGACTGTAAGCAGGCATATGAAAAAATGTTCACCACCACTTATCATCAGGAAAATGCAAATCAAGACTTCAAGGAGATACCACTTCACACATGTGAGAATGATAGATATAGAAGAGACCAGAAACAATAAGAGCTGATGGTGAGGATGTAGAGAAGGAAGCCTCCCACACTGTGGGGGTGCAGACTGGTTGCAGCCCTTAAGGAAAGCACTATGGCAGTATCTCAAAAGACTAAAAATGGTTCTGCCATATGACCTACTAACTCCATTCCTAAGTATCTACACAAAAAGTATTCAGAATAACCAAAACAATACTGAAGAAAAAGTTGGAGGATTGATGCTCTTTGACTCTAAGACTTCCTATAAAAGTACAATAATCAACATAGTGTAATATTAGCAAAAGAATAGATAGATAGATCAGGAGAACAGAGTACCAGAGCCCAGAAATAGAGTCACATAAATATGGTTGTATGATTGTGGGAACAAATAAGTTCCTCCAAATTGTGAAAGTAATTTGATGAAGTAGTTACTTCCATTAATCATGATTACATTTTATTAAAAACAGTTGACATACAGGGCTTCCTGGTGCCAGAGCAAGTGGAAAGGACTTCAGGTTAAGAAAGGATCCACACCACTCACTCTAAAAGGGTTATTCTTATATCCTGTTTAGCGTGTGTGATCATTCTCATTTAAGACTAATGACACCAGATGTCCAGGGAGATATGTCACGTGCATCTTTGTTCTACTAAGATTAATAGAGTTGCATATGGATTACCAGTACAGGTTAATACACATGAAAGAAACAATGGGGGAAATTGGCTATCTTCCCAGGTCATAGACCTAAGTAATGGCATTGATGCAAGATGGAGTCACTTTGGTTTTCTTTCTTTGTCATTTTCCTTTATCCTGCTTCACTGCAAAGTTTTCAAAAATGTAAAATGCTCTTCCTTTATGGAATATGCAATTTCACTTGCCATTTAATTCGAAGTACAATTATTTGACTTTTAGTTTGCTACTACATCAAATCTGCCCTAAACAAAGCTGCAAACAAACCACTATTACTAAGGTTAGATAAAGTTTTTTAATTCTTTTTTTCAAGATTTTTATTTATTTATGGATACAAGAACTGGGATATAGGCCAGAGATGCTGGGGGAAGGGGTTGCTAAAAGGATTCATCAGAGGGCCATCCCTG